GTGTTGGTGTTGGTGTTGGTGTTGGTGTTGGTGTTGGTGTTGGTGTTGGTGTTGGTGTTGTTGGCCGAGAGTACTTCATATAGACATTGCTTACGCAACATTCTAGTGGTTAGTGGGGGACTAGTTGAATAGAATGCTATTCTTCCATTACGTTCTTATCATACCATATTTACATACGCTTATAAGCGCCTATTTGTTGTTGAGATGCGAATGATTTACAAGTGCGAAAATGGGCCCAGTGCTGAACTCTGTGGTATATCATAGAATAATATGAGATATTTCTTATTTACAATTTATATAGGCATCAATCTGAGAGTGAAATCTTCGACCGCCACGGAGTTGATGCTGGATATTGCAGACCTTGGATTCAAATTTACTGAGCTGTTTGTTCTATACAAAGAAAAGGAGAGCCAAAAGACTTGGAAAGTTTCAACGACATCCTCGACCAATATTACCATCCGGGGACTTCTTCCGTCCAAACAATATGAAGCGAGAGCAGTAGGATATTTTAAAGGAAGGGTTTACGAGAGCCAGTTAGTGACAACTGTAACTAAACAACGTAAGTGTATTTTGCCAAGTGATTTGACTGGGCGCGAAAATATGATTTCCTGATCGGAAAAAAAAAAATAAATAAATCCTATCAACTACCGGACGTTCATTGCCTTTAAGTCTCGTAGCGGCCATCTTAAAAAGAAAATATATAAATTTGAGTTTTTTCCAAAGTTTAAAGCCCTGAAAAAAATCAGGAATTTGTAAAAAAACTTTAAAAATGGTTTTCTAAGAGCATGAAGATTGATTTGATATAGGTCTGTTATTTTGCATTAGGTGCTCTTTTTAAAGCTCTAATTCTAATAAAAAACCATTAGAAGATAAAGGTAATTTCCTAGATTCCTAATTTACCTCTACTCTTTAACTATTGGGCGCGCAACGACGCATGGGATTGCTTTTTTCCTCGAACAGTGATTGGCGATGTGATTGGCTGATCCCCTGATGTATAGTAGAACAAATATGTACGAATATGTGAGATCACTGAAAGTGACATGCACTGAAAGCATATTCAATTTTTCTCTCTTTCACATGATTCATGACTATTCTTAAATGAATAAATTCCATTGGTTACAATCATGACTGGTATGCAATATACCTAAATCCAAAATGGCGCACAGCCGGTTGAAAACGAGGTATCCATGGCCAAATTTAAAAAACATTTCCGGTATTTTCTAATAGATGGATGCTGCACAATTTTCGCTATCCTGAATGTAAGAAGAAAAGAAAGACAGAACAAGTAAACAAGTGCATACTTTGTATTAACACCCTATTATTTCTTTGCATTTGGCCCTGGACCTCGTTTTCATGTAACACACTCGGCCGTGCGCCATTTTGAAATTAGGTGTATAAGGGTGGTTGCTGTTGAAATGTTTTTCCGCTTTTTTTTTCAAGTATGTTTTCTACAAAGAACCGTTTCAGCAAGGGGGCAAACATTTAGAGATTGGTTTGACTTATAACCTTTCGGCGCGACAATAGCTTTCACCTTTCCTTACCATAGAAAACATCCGCCCACTTTTATGGGTGCTGTTGTACTTAACTAGAATTAAAATTTTGTCATGTTCATCCAGAACCGCAGGAGCAGATGTACGATTATGGACCGTCTGTTGGAGACAGCGTCGTTTCACATGAATGGGGAGACTTAAAAAAATGTTTTGGAGTAGAACTGAATGAAGAGGGAGTCAATATATTCATGAAACGTTATCATAAGGTTTACGTAAGTAATTGATTATGCAATTGAATGGTAAAGAAGAACTTATGCAGTCTAAACAAAGGATTTGTTTTATTTTATGACTTAGATTTGTCGCAACGGCGTTATTCGCTTTGGAGAAAACGTTTTCCCTCGCTGGCCTAAGCCATTCAGCGGTAGCACCGAAGGGTGTAAAAACGACCTTGCAATGTTAGCACCATACTGGGCAACCACAGATCCATATTCCTTCTATCAACTAAGGATATCTGCAGTTTACTACCAAATTTACACTTCATCTCAAAAAACTGTAAAGTCCAAAGAAGTATTAAACCGGGCCACGTCAGAAGTCAACAGACTTTACGAAGATCCTCTACCAGAAGAATTCCAAGCAACACTTGTTTTAATCGTTACGTGGCATAATCTTCGTCACTTAAACTTGAATTCCGAAACTCGCAGTTTGGTAAGTTATCAATTTATATCAAATTGATTTGAGAGAAAAAGCCTTGAGGAAGCCCTTTCTTGAAATATGCTGAGTCCTTCTTAGATATGTTAAGGTCGTAGGCAGTGTAGGTAACTAATCCATAGCTTTCGTTTTTTTCTTAGTACAACACCTTTCAGGCTGTGATCATCACAGATGGTGTCTTCACCTTTGTGATGTATAACTACCCACCTAACGGTATTCAGTGGTCAGCGCCAATGGCAAGGTTAAGACTTAAACTACCCAAAACGTAATTGTAAAGTTAACAATAGCAAATGCAAAAGAAATTACCTTTTCTCGGTGGAATTTTTGCCATTTCTTTTATATTTTCCTGTTATCTTTGCTAGGTTATGAGAAATCTTAGCACAATGAGATCCTTTCTCTTGATACTTTTGTCAGGGACCGCGGAGCGTAATTTTGATTGCCGAATAACGATCACCGAAGGCGCGAGCACTTACTAGGAGGGTTCGGGGCCAGGCCCCTCCAAAAACGTTTTAAACCGAGACCTTTGGAAGTGTTTTGAGGGGCATCTACAACATATTTATTGCATTGGCTATTGGCATTTTAAATAGCAACCACGTTATTCAAAATATGGCGGCAAAGTTATTGGGGAGTCAATTGCCCCCCAACCCCCCTCCCCCGCGGCTACACGGTCCCTGTTTGTGTGTCTTCTCAACTTTATTGACCAAAAACGATAGTTATCAAGAGTATATTATATGGTTTGAGCTATGAAATTACTTATACAACATATAAAAGCGTCCTTTTGAATTTTTGAAATGCAATATGAGTTGCATTACCGACGTTGAGACGGGACAAACACATACGTACCGTCCTAGAGAAGAGCCTCAGCTATATTGGTATATTCTGGAGATAAGATTTGTTTTTTAAAAATATCTCTATGTGTGGTTTATACAGATTTAAATTTATACGGCATGATTCTTAATATAATAAATTTCTAAATAATTTCCAGGGCTAAATGGCGTCTCTACAGTACTGGAAGTTCTGTTAATGACCCTCTTCCGGTGGTTGGCTGGAGTGCTGGATGCGAACAATACGAATACTTCAATGTATCAAGGTACCTATCTAAAAATTAATGCGATTATTTCTTACTTACCTTACGTAGTGTTCTAAGATATTATATGTATTCATTTTATTTAGGTCCGGAGAGGTAACAATTGGAGATATAGGTGCAATTTATGGTCAAACTGTGTCTAGAAGAGAAGGGGGATTTAAGCAAAACAGCCACGGTTTCAAGGGGAAATGGTTATTCCGATTGGAAATATCAACTGGTCAAAGTTCAGAGCAGCACTGCAAAAGTTGGTTCAAAATGCAACCAGATCCACGGCCTTACCTTGAATACCTTGAACCTTGCCCTTGCACATTTTTCCAAGCCCGATGGGACGAGAGATTCAATGTCGAAGAAGACTGGCGAGGCAAATCCAAAATTTGTGCCTATTCCACCTTCACTTCTAAAGACGGTTGGCAACAAGAATGCTGTTACTCTAACGACTGGAGAAGCAATGGTGCACTTATCGTGGGTCATCCAGGGGGAGGTGGTGCTCTCAGGGAAAACTACGAAACGAACGAAGTTAATAACGCCTACGACTGGTGCTGTGCACAATCCACAATGTGTCATCTGTACTACCAGAGAAGACCATCAGACGACTGCAAGCAATACGAACCACCTGAGTGGAGTAAGTAATCGTAGTCAAATGATGTAGTGATTAAGTCTGCACAGACAACAGACAAAATGAACTTACTTAATGCTGCAATATATATTATTGTAGTTTATTCGTACATTTGCTTCCTCAAACATTTTAAACCTTTCAATTGGCAGCCAATAATATTAGACTTTCACAACATCGACTACCGATATCATGCTATAAACTCCAGAAGATGTACAACGTCTGGAGTTAGTTTTGAGACGCACCAAATATGAAGAGCTCGAAAACAAAAAGGCTTAAAACTATAACGCAAAATATTTACCATCACTACTGAGAAAACTGCTAACGTGATGATCTGAACGTATTTAGGTTGGATGTGGGGCGACCCTCACTTTGTCACTCTTGATGGCAAAAACTACACATTCAACGGTCTTGGTGAATATGTGATGCTTGATGCAAAGAACGGCTTCTTTCAGCTCCAAGCGCGTACAAGACTCGCTAAAGGTGATGGGACTGCTACTGTGTTCTGTGCTGCAGTGGTCAAAGAAAGAAATACAAGCAAAGTGCAAGTGAATTTAGAGAGACAAGGTAGGAAAATAATGCTTTCGCTTATAAAAATTAGCTTTAATATGTTAAAGCTAAAATTATAGTTAAAATAATCTTTGTTATTTAGTTATTCACTTGCTATACTTTTTAGCAGGTAACATGACACTGTTTATTGATGAAGAGATCTTGGATTACTATAGTCTTACAAACCAATCGACCAGACTCAATGGCTCTGTCGTTGTCTCCCGTCCAAAAGAAAACGCATTTAGAGTAACATTTCCATCTGGAATCTCTGTTACTGTAACAGAGGTAAAGGGTGCCCTGTCCATCTTATTAGCAATGCCTAAGTCATTCAGGAACCAGACGAGAGGGTTGTTAGGAACCTGGAATGGGAACCAAACAGATGACCTGACAACACCCAGTGGTGATGTTTTACCAGCGGATGCAAGCAGCAGGGACATTCACTTTCGATTTGGACAGAAATGTAAGAGATATGCTTTTACTAAACATTTTGGGTCTATATCCGTGTGATAAATAATGGTAATTGAACTGAGTGGAGTGCAATTTGGTTTGAAATCAAACGATTGATTTCAGACCATTAAAGTACACTCAACAAAATTACTCGACTCTGATTGGTCGAGAGGAGTACAATTATAGCGTTACTTGTACTCCGTAGGAGTACGGAATTAAGTCGCTATGGCAACACGGCCAAAACAATGTCAAAACAATTATTTTCTATCATTTTGTACTTAAAAAACATATAAATAAAATTTTAAAGCCGTAAGTACTAATCTTTTTTTATGCATTTGCGTTATTGCATTATGCATTGCGAGATGGACTGAAAATCGGCCGCCAAATAGACAAAGATGAACGGCGTCGCTTCGCATTTTTTACTGAATTTTTTGAGTGAACTATAAACAAAAAATCGCACGATCTCGAGTACAATTTGGAAATTAATAGACACGAGTAATGTTTTGAAAGTTCTTGTAATTGCACGAGCCTTTATTTCCCATACAAATTGCACAACACAAAGTTCAATTGCAAATTAATGATATCCATTTTGAAATCTCCTGCAAAAATAATACATTTAAATTTAATTTTTACTACAATTTAGTCAACAAAACCGTCTTTCACATACAAAATTCCTTCAATGTTTTTCGCTTTTATCTCATTGGTCAATTTCTATTTTTATGCAATTTCATTGGCTCTTCAAAATAATGCAATTTAAAACTCAAAATGGTGCACTACTGAGAGCCAATCAGATTGCAGAAATCAACAGTGATTTCAAAATAGATGTAATTATGCCGTTAATAAAAACCATAGCAAGGAAGTGATAAGACATCACTTCACGGTGAACTGGAAACTGCAAATTTTGGTCATTTTATCGACCCTAAATATGTAATAAACAAACTATTACATGTTAAGAGCTCGATATCTTTTTTATTTACTCGTTTTCCATATCATATCACTCACTCGCTCGAAGCGGACTCGCTCGTTCGCGATAAGATATGGAAACTCGTAAAGTAAAAACGATATCAAGCTCTTAACATGTGATAATCTATTTATTCAGTCTCGTTAAAGATTTATGGTTTGATATTTTTAATAAAATGATTGTTTTTTATCATTTTTTTACATTTTGGATAACAAGGCAAGTAAGCGAGAGTACCTCGCTTTTTACCTATCAGTTCGGCGAGAACGTGTACACGTTTTCAAACAAGTCATTCGTGCCTATGTTTATAGAGGATCTGAAATTCTATAATGAATCTCTAAAGAAACAAGCTTATGCTGCTTGCCAAGGTGACATCAATTGCTTGTTTGATTCTGCTTCAACCAAGGACGTGTCTCTTGGATTAAGCACAAAGATTGTCGGGTCACAAATGGTCAACGAATCCAACACACTGAGTAAGTATTGTAAAGCTGTAGACGCTGCTCGGCTCATGCTGGATCCCCGTGCAATGGCCCTTGATAGGTTCGTGCTTATTTGGAAAGTTAAAGCGCGACGTTAGGTAGGCTGTAGTATCAGTATCGTATATCATATACCATATAAATAAAAACTACAGCAATATCGAGTAAATTTGTAACAATGTTCAAACTTTTCTTTTACCATAAGAAAACTTTCCTCCTGAGTTCGAGAACACGTCATCTATTCTTTACGTAACGGAGAAAGTTTGGACCAGTGTGACTTTCAGGGCTAAGGACCCGGATGGAGATAAAATAAGATTCAGCATAACAGGTCCTCCAGATGATGCAACAGTATGGACGAACGAGTCTTTGATGACCTTGGGATGGATGGTTACCAAAAAATCGGTAAAATGTTGAATTTCACCATTTTTCGTGCTCGTGGAAAGTCTTGGGAATGGTAGAGAATGGAATTGAACAACTCTCTCATTGTTTTCAATCAGGTAAAGTTGGAAATAATCGCCACAGACAACAAGGGAGCGACGTCTGTATTGAGACCGGTGCTGCACGTCTGCGCATGTAACAATGGTGGTGACTGCTTGACAACTAATCAAGAAGACGCTGATCGTAATAACAGTCGTTTTAAAATCATGCCTTGTCAGTGTCTAAGTGGTTACACGGGTCGATTCTGTGAGAGTGAAATTGATGCATGTGAGGTCAATATGAACCCATGTTACCCTGAAGTACAGTGCAAGGACCTGCCAGCTCCTGCTGATGTCACCGGATATGAATGTGGACCGTGCCCGCCTGGATTCTCAGGACAAGGAGACTCATGCTCAGGTAGTTAAATTAAAGTGCTCGCACTTTTGAATATATATAGTAGTTATACAACGGTTTGGAAAGGCATACCATGAGTCATTTTCCACAATGTCTGATTAGAAGGCTTTCCAGCATTCTTATTGGCAGTATTCTTAATAGAGTGGGAAATAATGATTTGCCATTTTTTTATCAAACTTATATTATATTTGCCAACTTATGGTGGCATCATATTTTGTTCTCTACATTCTCTCTAGATTTTGATGAATGTGATAGTGTCACACACGGATGTTCCCAAATCTGTACCAACACTCCTGGGTCCTTCGCGTGTAATTGTAACCAAGGTTACGTGTTAAATGCAGATGGCCGTACGTGTGATGGTGAGTAGTATTTCAATCGTTGATGAATTGTTTCGTATGGCGTCCCAATAATCGTCATGGTATACATGCATTATTTGTAGACGTGAACGAGTGCGATCCAGCCAGTGACTGTATGCAAGGATGTGTAAATACCCCGGGTAGTTACAGATGTACCTGTGACAAGTACTTTACAGTAGATTCTACCAATCCCAAGAAATGCATAAGTAAGTGATTGTAGTGGAATAGAGTGAATAGCTGTAGTGTAGTTACAGATGTACCTGTGACAATTACTTTACAGTAGATCCTACCAATCCCAAGAAATGCATAAGTAAGTGATTGTAGTGGAATACAGTGAATAGCTGTAGTGTAGTTGAACATGTGATGATGTATGTGGTGTACTATTTTTCCTTAGTGGAGTCTCCCTGTAAGGAAGGTAATCATCAATGTCAGCATATTTGTTACGTCTCCAACGGGACGAACCACTGTACATGTCAACCTGGATACGAACTTCAACATGACAATAAATCATGCTCAGGTATATAAAATTTGTAAGCATAGTCATGTAAAACTTGCAATCCTAAAAGTCTGCTTGTCCGGAAAAGAAAGTGTTGCGTGACGACTCTAACTGTGGCTAAGAAGCTACTGTAGAAGATCTAGGCATTTTGTGATTAATAAAGTTAAACATACCGTAAATCCTCTATTTAGCCCCCCGGGGGGCTTATTTATTTCAGGCACGTTTGAGGGGGGGGGG